TGAAGATAGCCCAGAGGGCAAGTGGGGGACGATAAGGACACTTTTGGCTTTGGACCGGAGGAGGAAAGACCGTCGGAGAGAGCGGTCTCGAGTTCGGTGTTGCTTCGGCCGGAAGGGTTACGAAGAACACTAAAGATAGAAATAGCATTGGAAGAGAAAAAGAACATTGGTAAAGCCGAGACTAAAGGACGAACTTTGGGTCCTCGCATGTGCTCCGTCCCCATAGAAGAAAAGAATCCCAAGACGAAATCATCTAGTGGCCACCACCGCAGTCAACCATTCGGGTACCCGTTCCTTACTAGAAATTTCCATTCTTGTTCTCCCATTCTATTCTAATTCTTGTTCTTCCTTTCCTCTTCTAGTTATAAGTAGTTTTAAGTTAGTAATTAAGTGTCTCCTTTGTTACGCGAAAGAAAAGTTTAGCTCCACTGTGAATCAACAATCGGTGTTGTTTGTTCCCTTTTGTTTAATTAAAGTGAGGAACAAGGAGGTCGGAATCAACGAACCTTTCCTGTATATATGTTCATACAGTAAAATAAAGCACGTCTTATTGTTTTATATTCCTGTCTCTTTGTGAGAATTCATCCATCACCACGTGCTCACCACAGGTATTTTAATACAGAATTTGTTAATACAGAAAAAATTGTTTATTTTTATTAATTTATTATTTTGCTTTATGAAGTCCTTTAGCTAAAATATTAATTTTTTAAACATAGAAATACATTAACTATATTTTAAGAAAAACTTTTTATTAAAAAATATCACATATATTTTTTGAATTAAATGAGATGAATTAAAAAAAAAACAAAAAATATTTTTTGAAATAAAAAGTTAGTTTAATAATCATTCAATAATAATAGAAATAAACAAACACAGCATAAGAGACAAATGCCTCAATTATCAGGATACAGAATGCTTGTCTAAATGACATAGGAGTTATACAATTAGCTCCAAATGCTAATAAGACTATTATCATTAAATTAACACATCTGACCATGACTGAAAGCATCACCTCACTGCTCATTATTAATATTTTGTTATAATCTGTATCTATACAATGCCTGTAAATAAATTTGGCCAGAACCTCAAAAATGCTTAAAATGTACCTGAGTATATGATATTAACATCAATTACAAACACAATTTTTATTTCTAATACTCATATTGCATATTTTTAATTTAACTAATTAATTAAAAACACAAAAGTAAATTGCTTAATTTAAAAACAGATTATGCTAAAATCAAATTTATTCATGTGCTATTCTATTTTGCAATTGTTGGTACTCATTGTTTTTCATTCTACACTTTTAACTTGACAATGGCCAATTAAATGTAGCTGAAAACTTTATAATAATTACTGAATTAAATGACTGTAGTTTATTCTATTCTAATCATCCAATTTAACGTTTCCTGCAATTCTCTGAAATAATGTTTAAACTCTGGAATTTACATGATCTTTGAAAATTGAATTTGAAACTGAAAGCTATTTTGAAAATTATTCTGAAAGTATTAAAAACTTATTTATTATTCCCAATTTTGGCTATTACTTCTATTTATTATGACTCTTAGATTCCTAAAAAAATATACTATAGATCTGCATAACTTAAGTTAATTTTAGTGATAAATCAATGATTGAAGCAATTACCTGTAATGGACCCCAAAAGCAAATCCTCTTTTACACAAGAATATGTATAATTATATGATTGAGGTTTTAATGGAGAACCAGTAGACAAAATTGTATGAAGAGATTCCAAACTATGAGTGAACTCTGTATAAACAATTAAAAACTATTATTTTAATTAATTACACAGCAAAATAAAAATGCTAAAAATACATAAATATGACATTACTTGGCTTAATTCCTTTACTTTCCATGACAGCTAACCCCTTTGCACTTGTTCCCAAAATAGTGATACCAATTAAATCGACTAAATCCCAAATTATTGCATCATGGGGAACAAATGGTGAACCATCATAGAGTACAACAGAGCAACCAATTGCTAAACAGGATATCAACCAATTCCACATCATCCAACCTGTCTAAAAGTAAATTTACAATAGAATAAAAAAGCAGAAAATAATAGTTTCTCTATTAAAAAGGTATTTTTAAAATTTTCTTACCGTTGTATAATACATAATAACATCTGAACGTGACATGTTTCCATGAAGTAAATGTTCTTTTAGATGTTGTATTAAAGTTCCCTAATTTAAAAAATATTCTATCATTATATATAGTTTGAATGGAAAAATAACTCCAAGTCAAGTTCTTTGAGATGTATATAACAAAACCAATATACAGGTATACCTCACCTTACGTCAGTAATTGGTTCCAGGAGAGGCGACATAAGTCGAATTTACTTGTCTCCGAATCTACTTGTCACTAGCCTAAACCATAAATTACCATTCCTGGTTCTGTATTTTATTTATTAATGCATTTTTAATAATATATGGTTAATAAGGATCTATTTTAAGCTTACAAACAAATAAATTTTAGTTTTTAATATAGTACAGAAAAAAAGTAATCTAAATTTATAAATGCATGTACTGTACTGTAAATATAGTACATACTTGTAAATGTATATATTTTAATATGATTTTATGTGCTTTAAATGCTTTTCTAGTGATATTACGACTTCAATATTTGTGGCAAACAGACGTAAAGTCGAATAAAATGACTTAAACTTGATTTTTATTTTTCCATATACTTTTTTGACAAACGACGTATAATTGGGAACGACGTAACTCGAAATGACATAAGTCGAGGTATACCTGTATAATTTTATTTAAAAACTGTTTTAACAAAACGAATAAAGTTATGAAAACATTCTAAATCTTTAAAATTGTGAATATTGTCTGCATCAGATGTTTTCCAACTATGTGTTCTTTGTGCTGCATGTTGGATGTCATGTATGGTTTATTTTCATACAGGGCACGATTGGAGTATCATGCATGTTTTCTTCTTTGATCTAGCTTGCTTCATCTTTGTATACAGCACTTGACTAGACCAAAGAACAGACCAATAGTCCAAATTGTTTTTCTGTTGGCATGCCATTGTGCTGTGATTGTGTGTAATTGTCTGTAGAAAAGGGCCTCATTGTAAATAAATTATTTATTATGTCATTTTCACAACATACATGTTTTTGTAACTTCAGTTTTAGTTTGAGAATGAACAGAAACTGACATGATTAATATTGACATGTGTATTGTGTTGCTAATGCTGTAAAGTAGGTTTTAATATTCCTGAATATTTTCATAAACCTCTTTCATTAAGTTTTGTGTTATTGAGAGCAATTTTCAAATTACAAACCTATAAATTCCCACTGATGTCTGTCTATCCTTCATTAATCTCAAGAACAGTTAGATAGATGAAAGTTGAGACCAAATATGGAAAGCTTAGGCAAGAGGCCTTGATTACCTGTAAGCAAACTTCTGGTTTGGACTGGGAGTCACATGATTACAATTCAAACATTTTCCCCAGAATAGAATTAGATGGGTGACCAGTAAGACTCTTTACTTTATCTTCTCGATGTGGGTTCCTGTCCATGGTGAGGGGACCTCTCAGAGATGATTTAGTAACACTTTACCATCCCTGGGATCTGAACACCCACCCACATGTTTGCCGTGCATGGTGGCCCATATGACAGAAAGGGGGATCCTGGTAGTTGAAGGGCAACATAATGTCCCCAACACACTGCTTTGGATTAACAGGATGCTCAAACCAGGCACCATTTGAGTCAATTGGCTGGCTGCTGAGCCATTCTTGACCTTGGCCTGGAATCAAATGATCGATGCAGACCAGACGAATATACCCCTGCTTGACAGTCTTGTTACATCAGACAAGATCTGCTCTACTTTATTGCATTATGAAGGTATAGCTCCTGGGAAACCCTAGTGTGATAGTCTATGGGAATCTCCCATGTGATGGTATCCCTTGTTGGGCCCCATAGTGGGTGGGGTCACTAGGAGCTGAATAATTATTTTTTAATCATGGATTCTAAAAAAACAAAAAATCCAGACAACTACAACAAATGAAAAGACCTTCAGGCAATCATCATATTTAGTAGTGCATGCAACTGGAGAAAAGTCTTCCCCTTTCCTGATTCAAAAATAATTTGAATTGACCATTGGGCATTTAAAAAAAATACAAAAATTGAGGTCAGAGGACCTGGTAGAAACAGCCTCTCCTCAACAAACAACAAAGCTTTTGGCAATGAAGATCCTTGGAGATGTGGAAGTTTCAATCACACCACACAGAAGTTTAAACTCATCATGTGGTGTGATATCAGAGATTGATCTGATGTCTAAAGATGAATCAGATATTCAGATTGGTCTTTCAGATCAAGGTGTTGATGAATGGAGATGCGTCAGACAGCAGCAAGATGATAAGTTGATACCAACTAAGCATCTAATTCTCACATTCAACAAGCTGACATTGCCATCGTTCATTACAGCAGGATACCTGCACTGTCTGGTTCGTCCATACATTCCAAATCAACTGTATTGCTTCAAATGCCAGCAGTTTGGACATTCACAAACATCCTGCCAAGGGAAAAGCATATGCACGCAGTGTGGAACTGAAGGTCATGAGAGTACTAAATGTAAAAGTATCCTATGCTGTGTGAAATGCAAAGACGTCCATCCTGCCTACTCCCGGAAATGCTCTGTATGGCAAAGAGAAAAAGAGATTCAACAGGTAAAAACTTAACAACATACCATACCCAGAGGCTTGTTGCATGAAACAAGACATTTGCTGCTGTGTTGAAATCTACAAAGACGTGTGGGGTTCGAACAAATATTTCTGTCTCTCCAAGTGAATCTCTTACTTGCCATGCAAAATGTTTACTGATCCCATCTATGCAAACAGAAGAAAAGAAAATACAAAGACCAAAATCTCTATAACTGAAACAGGGGTAATAACAAGAAATGTGGGTTCTAAAAAAGCAAATAAGAACCAACTTAACAAACAAAGAATGAAAGCAGTGTAAGGAACCAAGTCCGAGCATTATTTTTATTTACTTTTATTTTTGCTTTTTATTACATTTTTGTTTGGGGCTTATGTTTTGTTAGGACGAATGTTTCCTCACCATTCACCTTACAAACTTAAAAATAGAAGAGAAACCAACTCATCAACAAGAGAAAAGTGCCATAGGAAAAACTCACGCACACTTGCGCTCTCAAGCAGAAAAAAGTAAGTCCGCATCAAAAAAAGGGGGGGAGACCCCACAAGTATAACTTAGGACCTTGCTAAACCTTAAAGAAAAAACATCCCGAAAATTGTCAAAAAGAATAATGTAAAAGGTTAGTGAGTATTGTTGGAAAATAGGCTGCCAGACAAATAGAAAAAGTTTATTGTTAGCAAATAAGTATGTAAATGAGGGGAGTGATCGCAATCAGAATTGTGAAGTCACCTCACAGTATAAAGTCCGAACCTCAAGTGAAGACAAGCGAGGTGAGCTTATGTTACCAATGAGCGTGGTGAGCTTCAGCAGCAAATAAGAGAGATAAAATAATTCCAAGGCGATTTTGAAGTTATTCGATTTGTCGATCAAAGATTAGAGAAAGTCTTGAGAGTTGAGGAAAAAGGTTCCTAGTATATTGAGGTGACAATTAGGATCTTTAATTCATAAGAATTATTGTACATAAATTAAGTCTTTGATTTTTGTCAAATTCCAATGGGGAATTAAGTTAGAAAATAGATTGATTTGAGTTTTGTCGGGTTGATTCTTATTGATTTTCATTGAATAAATTGTTACTTGATTTTTACTAAATTTTGTATATAGTTATTACTAGAATATTTATTAAATATTTGATTTGTTATTGACAAACTTTGTCATTATTTAATTTNTATTTTTATTATAAAGAAGAGAATATCATTACAGTATAAATAACAGTTCTGCAAGGTCTGTTCATCTTCAGATTGCATTAAAACTAAAGTTTAATTTAAGCTTATGACAAAGTGACAAATTCAAAAACAGTTCTAAAGTTTAACAACATTTTGCCTCTCATAATTTACATACTAAAATCTTCAAAACCTCAATAAAAGTTCAAGTTATAAAATATTCTTTAACAGAGTAAGGCCTGTGATTATTTAGTGGTAATTCAGTGGCGTGCCGTCATTAGAAGCGGTGGATGTGCCGCTTCCCTTGTATTTTCTAAAAAAAACACATATTAATTTTAATTATATGAAAATAATCGCACAATATTTTATTATAACCGCATAATGTATCTTATTACAAATTTCTATACTACATGTGAAAAAAAAATAAGATTGCTATTATATATTAAGTTTAACATATTTAGACTTTTACAGCTATGGTGAGAAATGTTTAAAATTTACAAGAACCCTGTCACGTCTTTTGAGGTATATTAGTGACACAACAAAAGAGGCATTTGAAATTGACTGGTATCAGCACCCTCGGGATTTGGCAGCCCGCATGCATGTACACACCGCACACCTAGCAGGACTGTCTCTGATTCCACTCATAGGGAGCTATTTGACGAAGTGGTTAAGATTTAAAGAGTAAAGAATATTTTATGTTATTTTATGTATGTTTCATTACAAAGCTATATTTAATTATAATTTTCTTTAAAAGTATATTCATACAATTGAAGAATATTTTGTACCAGGTATGTATATCCACCACATTATATTTTATTTCACCAAGTAAGTTTTTATAATTTTATTTTTAATTTTGTCCTTATATGATGGTTAGCAATTTAGAATGTAATTGAGATATTGAAAATTTATTTTAAAAAAGTTTTGGCTCAAGATCATATAATGAAAAAGAAAACATTATTAAAAGAGAAAGGCCAATGCCTAAGTTAAATATAAACATTTCAATAAAAAAATTTGTTCAACATTTTCACAATAAAATGGCTCTGTAAATGCATAAAAATGCAAAAATTGTTTTGTTGACTTGCCTACTATTTTCAAATAAAATTAGTGTTGAATAAGAATGGCTTTGACAATTTAGTTGGCAAAAGACATGAAAAATCGTTGATTCTTTCGTATTTTAAGCAATTTGGAAATTGAAATGGAATAGAATTTAACATTAGTAAATAATATTAAAAAAATATTGAAAATTATAACGTGATAGTTACGGTTAATAGATATAATATATCTGAATAAATAGATGTTATATGTTTTTATCAAAGCAAGAATTGGCATTTAGAGGGCATATGGAATATATTGGATCTAATAA